AAAAAAAAAAAAAAAAAGCATTTCCATTCGATTCTACAGATATTTTTCTTCCCTCTTAACAAGATTAAAATTAGTTTCATTAGTGTACTCATAACTAATAAATTTAAATGAAAACTGAAGTGGCATTACAGGGTACATAATAGATATAGTAAGCATTATAATGACTTTTTTTTTTGTTTCTCATATTACATAGTAGCATTTTTTGCATAACAGTCCAAATACTGGAGAGCTTGCTCAGAGGGTGCTAGGCACTCTCTCTTAGTCCACAGAGATCAGGCAAATAGCTCCTCTGTTTCAGTAGCATTCACTAATCACTGGGATCAAGACACAACCCCTTCTACTTGCTCTCCTGCCGATGTTACGACTTTGGCTAAGAGCTTTTACAGAAGGCTCCAATCCTTCTTCAGAATATGCTTACTCTTGGTGATGATGCTCTCCCTTTCTCCACAAATACTCAAAACACCAGCATCTGCATCACTACCAGGAGAATTTTTCTTTCCGGCATATTGCTCTGCAACAGATTGCTTTGGGAATCCAAATGAAGAGAAATGTGTCATGTGAGTCTAGGGCTTAAAATCTGTAGAGGGCACAAATTCAGACATACCAAGCATGTTTTACACACCAAAAAGCCTCTTGCTCACTACACAGACTCTTCAAAAGCTCACTGAGATTTCTCATTCTGGCTGTCAAAAGCGTCAGGTATCTGCCTTCCGAGACTTGGATCTTTCCATGGCATTTGTAATTTAGGTTCTAGTCACTTATTGTTTTCTTTATCTTATTACTCAAACACGTGAGCATGTTTCAGCTATTTTAAATAAATAAAACATTCAATTAATTTCTCAGTAATATATAAACTTTTAATAAAAAAAATAAATCTCAGTGCTGAAGTTACCTATACACAAGAAGTAGGAATGAATAATTAATGGAAGAATATGCCCATACTGAACCAATACACTCCTCCACTTCTATCATTCTGAACGCATGCCTGACAATCCCCTACCCATGGCCCACAGACTCTAATAATAATATGTATTTGCCATGCTTCGATTTTCTGATTAACAGCAATTCGATTCATACTGTGTTTTCACAGTTAGACATAACATTCCAGAGAATTCAGAAAACAAAATCAAAATAGTTTTTTGATATATGAAATTACAAGAAAAACACAGAATTGTAATGCCTGGAAGGGACCTCTAGAGATCATCAAGTCCAACACCCCTGCAAAGCAGGCCCTCTACAGCAGGCTGCATAGGTAGGTGTCCAGACAGGTCTTGAATATCTCCAGAGAAGGAGAATCCACAACCTCCCTGGGCAGCCTATTCCAGTATTCCATCACCCTTACTGTGAAGAAGATCTTTCACATATTGGTGCTGAACTTTCTAAGCTCCAGTTTATGGCCTGTTCCCCTTGTCTTGGCACCACAGGCCACTGAAAAGACATTGGCCATGTCTCTGACTCCTACACTTAAGATCTTTATAAACATGAATAAGATTCCTTCTCAGTCTTCTTTTCACAAAGCTGAACAGATCCAAGTTAACCAGCCTTTCCTTGTAGAAGAGATGCTCCAGTCATAGGGGAGATGCTCCACACTTCACTAAAATACATTACTGAGAAGAAATCAATAAACATTTTGTGGAGTGTTGACTAAAAATATTATGATAAAGACTTCTAGTATGGGTGCTAAAAATTTGAAATGAAATACATATATTAACAGTCATTAAGACAACATAACTATTATGAAGACATTCATTTTTAGAGACAAGCACGTTTGAGATGCACAGTAAGATAGCAAAAGAGATCAAAATTAGAATGAGTTAATTCACAAAAAGTACTATGTGTATAAAACAATGGCAGGATGATTTGGCAGCAGTAGAGGGAAGAAGAAAAAGTGGAAATGTCAAAAGCACAATGAAAAAGAGAAGCAATATTTATAAAATTCCATGCTTCCATGAATAATCAACATTTAGTGTATACTCCAAAAGAGTACACTAAATTAGTAACTCTGTATAAAGTAACATTTGACACTGTTTAAGATACAGGTGATCAGCAGGCTGAATAAGATACCATCCTTGTACATCAAAGGCTTCAGATCCCAGAAAAGAAGACTTACATAGTTCACAGACTCCCTAGCTAATCAGGTAAACATCTGCAGTAGGAATCACAGTTAGCTGTAGCAAATGGCTGCCTACAGGGAGAGTCAACAAACCTTACTTTTATCAAAGAATGCCTCAGAAGGCAATGGCAAGTGAGTAGTACTGTTGCTGACTGTGAAACTGTAGCCTCAGTGTTGGGAAACAGATGGGAAGTCAGAAAAAATTGCTTGAAGTGGGACAGGATTGACAGTTTCTCAAACTAACATTGTATTTCAAGCTCAGGTAATATCAAACTAATTTATGAGTTTCAGTGACTGAAGAGCAATGCAAGAGATAAACATCTGTCAGGCTGAACCTAAGACTGAATTTTATATTTGTTTCATTAAATACTTTTTCATGATCTAAATTTTTTTTCTGTTTTGCTTATAAGTTTGCTTAATACTTTGCGATGAATACAAATCAAATGAATTTACTGTAAAAAAATTTTCTGAAGCATCTATATTTAGAACATATCTAAAGTCAATGGGACTTGCATGCTTTTCCGCAAGTCTGCTAGGTACTAGTATAAGAAGACTGTAAGGATGGATGTTTAGGATAACAGCAGTTGTCCATCTAGTCCAGAAGATAAAATCAATTAACTAGTCAAAATGAGATGACTACATAATATGAATCACAGAATTGTACTGGGATCATCAAGTCCAACCCCTGAATACAGGAAGAGCATATTCATTTAATGCTGACTAGATCTTATTAACACTATTTTTTTCCATGTTCTGTTGCCTTTAAGCCTATCTAGTGTGAGAATGGTGTTTGATTTTGGGAAAGATCTCCTTCCAGAAGAGACACTGATCTAGCAAAGTGGCAATGACAAGAACATGGCCCCTTCCAATTACCTTATTTCTGGACAAATTTCCACAGTGACAGTCTTACTAGATCTCAACGCACACAACTCCTAGAAAATGCAACACATTTCCTTTAAGTTAATACAAAAAAGTACTAAGAAGAGCATCCATTCCTTCACTCCATCTTCCACCCATATAAACAAGCAGTGAAGAAAATAGCTTGAATCACCTCTAAACCTTACTCGGAACTGGGAGCAAAGACTTGTACCTCAGTTGTCTATTAAGCATACAGGAGATAGAAATGAGATAGAAAGAATAATACAATTTCTTTAAAGAGCTTGTGAAAGATGAAAGAAATGTAAGCTTTCTAAGGGAAATGAAAATAGCAGAAGAACTTTCCTTAGTCACCAGTAGGCAGATATTCAGTAAGTGGGATATTTTCATGTGATATGCCTTGCAAATATTATCCATTGCCTTGCTGGTAATACTGAACTTTCAAATATCTTATTCCTGTGAAAGTAATGATTTAATAAAATGTATCAATTTCTAATTATTAATTTTCCCTTATTTTTGGATTTCAGTTCATGAATGCCAAATATGAAGACTTAGTGTAGTCTGACATGCATACAAATATATAGAGAATGGATGTCATGCAGATGTGTTGAAAATACATTTTATTTTGAACACATCAAAATCAAAGCTCAGGAAAAAAATTGAAAAAAAAAACGATTTACTGAGCATTGACAGACCTCTTTGTGATAGATATTCAAATTTGATCTGTGAAGGGGAAATATTCTAATACATAATGAGCCTTACTGAACATACTTAATCTCAGCATGCTAAGTTTATTCATAATCTTTCCTCCCACAACTTCTTTAAAACCATGGTTGATAACTAAATCGCATTGTATTTATGGAATTCTACATGTTGTTGCAAGTTTCTCACTAACTTTAGTAGTCACAGACATTTATGTATTTAGAGAGAACTAGCATGTAAATTTCATTTGATTCTTCAAGCCAGTCTTTGGATGTGCATTTTTCAATCCAAGATACTACAAGAGTGAGTTTAAGATAGTATATTCAGTGGTAATGCAACCCGGAAGCAATCTTGCAGATAACTATAAAAATGCCACGAATTTCAAGAAAAAATTGTCAGTACTGAGAGGAATTATATTCTTTCAACTTATAGGGCTGCATGTAAACAACATAAGCATGAAGTCAATACTTTGGTAAATAATTGTACAGATAGTATGTATAGTATGTACAGAAAAATACCCAAAAGAGTAATTTGGAGAAAGCAAGATACAGCATATTGATTTTACTTGGTGATTACAGCGTAAATGCATTCACATTACATAGTATTCATGGGGCTCTCAGTATCACAGTTTTTAAAGACTGAGACCAGCAAGAGAGTGATTGATTGAGACAAAGAAGCATTCTCAACTGTAGATGCAAAATAGTTCAAAATTTCTCCAAATAAAACCTGCTAAGTGAGAAATAGTAACTTCAAACTTCACTACTATGCTAAACATCATACGACTTGAATGTTTTATATGAGGAGTGAATTTTGACTAAAAAATATGAATTTTTTATATGAGGAGTTATCTTGACCCTCAAATTAAATAGTTTGATTACTCCTTTTATTTTTATTCCTTCCTAAGTCTGCAGGTAGTTGTGAATGTTGCTTGCGAAAAGCCTAGAACTGAACAAAACAAGTGGAATGAATTGAAGTATTTAAGGGAGTGAAAAACCTTTGTAATTTATTAATTTATTCAAGACTTTTACAAAACTTTACAATTTAATTATTGGAAGATTACAGAACTGCTTCAGTGCTTCCGTACTGAGTTAAATAAACTGTACGTGCAAGGAGTAATAAATGAAATTGTTAATTTCAGTGCATCCTTAGGGAATAGTAAAGGGGGAGGGTTTACATTATTTAGAGCTCCAAATGGATTTGAGTTTATATACAGCAATAAATCTTAACTACATTGTTAATTAACCCTGTCTCAAGCCCCTTTTTACCTTAGGGGTTGAAAGACAACACAGTGTCTGTTAGGATAACTCACCATTCATGTTCTTAAAGATGTTTAGCACTGGGAGGATTTGCCGATAATAGGGCACTAAGGCTTCTCCCACCATGTCTGCTGATACCACCAGGTGCTGGAGGATTTTCAGTGTGATGCAGATGACCTGTCGGTTTCGAAGGCTCAGTGCATCTGTGATGTATAAAGAACAACAGTCACAAAGCAGAATTAATTTTTAAAATGTAGAGTGAGGGGGAGGAGTACTTTAATGGACAAATTTAATTAAATTGTGTTCTGCTGGGGATTGTAAGTGAGCCTTTATTAGCCCAGCTTTGAAAGACCCCAAAGATGGATTGCAGTCCTGATGTTATAAAACACTGCCTTGTCTGATTGCTATTTGTTCCCACAATTTGTGCTGACTCTTCAGTAACCCAAAGAATGCAGCTCATTATTCCCTCACGCTGCCTGTGTAATACTGGCATGGTCCAAACAAATAAAAAATAAATGTTCAATAAGTACCATTTGGGGCCAATGAAACTGTACAACTGCAAGACAACCTGCAAAGGTTGACAACAGATACATTCTAGTGCCACAATTAGCCTGTTTGTATTATTGTACCCATTCATTTCATGATCGTTTTATTCATTCAACTAACAATTCCTACTATTCTAAGAACCAGTACAATGAAGTAAATGTTTGCAGGAAGAAAACACAAAAAAAACTTGTAAGCTTTTTATGTGAAGACAAACATTACCCAAAAAAATAAAAAAAAAAAATAAAAAAAAAAATTTGTCTTGCCTTGTTTTTTTCTCTTAGCTTTCAGTGTAGTGATTCTAATCTTATGATACTAAGACATTTCCTACATATGTTTTGTTTCTCTTCACTTTTGAGTTTACTAAAAACAAGTATCTCTCTGGTAATGAAAAATGCCTTCTGCTTGAGAAATATGCATACACATACACATATATACATATATATGCAAAACCCCTCAAGTTATAAGACCTTGTCTGAAATCATGCAGTTGGCTATTTAAGTCGAATTTGCTGTACTATTTATTACACATAGGTCTAATTTCTTAGTTTTCTGCTCACTTACATAGACATCTTCGTCACTGTACTGGGAAAAGCTAAACTATAAAAGATAAGCTCATATTCAACAATACATGTTTTATAAACAAACAAAAAATATATAAATATATATAATATAATATATTATATATATATATAAATATATATATAAATGTGTGATTCAATGCAGTGTAAGTATAAACAATTGGAAAAAAATATGGGAAAGAATGCAATCAAAACTCTACGAGCACTAACTTACTAGCAACTTATTCAAGAACTGCCTGCTCACAATCAAGCTATGGCATTCAGTACTTCTGGCAGTAAGTGTTGTCAGCGTACAAGAATGTTGTTCCATAGGGAATGAGGTAGTATCCTCACTCAAGAACAGCATCACTTTTTTCATCTCTTAAACTAAATACACTGTGCCACACTCTCTCCTGCTCCTTACGCCTGTTGAGTGTTAAAAAATCAGAGCTAGAGCTCTGAAGCAAGGGCAAAGCAGGCTGGTTGTAAAAATTTGTTAAAAAAACTCTTGAAAATCAGCTAGTAAATAATCTATTTTCATGACTCTTTCCATGCTTATGAAGAGCATGCTAAAGCTACTGTTAAGCAACCAAGTTAGGGAGGCCAAGGTATAAATGTACTGTAACACATCATTCTATGATTCTAAGATAAAGAAGTGCCATTAAATGAAATTACAGATTGGCTTCCATAATTTCTTATTTGCTGGTTCCTAGTGGACTCATCAGGCTACACGTAATGTCACGATGTTCCTGGGCATATTCACAAGTGGACAAAAAGTCCATCAATTCAGCTTGCTTCCATTAAGTCCCAGCAAGGACATCAGTTATTCCAGTTATTATGTTCTAAGGCTGCTCTAGTGAAGAGACTCGCAGAAAGATTCTAAAGATTCAGTCCAAATACCAGACAAGAAAACATTCCCTTACAGAGTAACAGGCATTGTACATTTTCTTAACAAAGTGATTGAAAGAGGAAGCATATCATTTGCAGCGTATGTTTATTCATAACTTAACTGTCATACCCAGAAATGCTTGCTAAATGAACTGATAGGGAAATAATCAGTAACACATATACTTTTCAGCACAATAATTATTGTAAAACTTAACCAATGGCAGAAATCACAAATTCTTAATTCTTAAGCAATAAACTGCACCTAATTCCAAGAATGGTTTTTCCTGACTGTGGAAGCTGGCCCAGAGGTTATGGGCTCTTATTTTTAGGCACATAGAGAGTATCATGTACACAGAAACGGTTACCCAAGCACTTCAAGAAAAAGCTCTTTATCTGCAGGTGTTGGCTTCCAAAAGTTTTCACAGTTTCCCGTGTTCAGACTTGTGTCCTGTGTGAAGATAACCCTCATTTGAGTGGAAGCTGGCATTATGCCAGTAAAATTCCTTAATAAAGTCAAAAATATGATTTATATCTCCTGACTAAGGAGTCCCAGCTCTTACAGCAAACCAAATGCATACTGAATTCAGATGTCTTCACAGAACCTATTGTGAAAGTTTCCTTAACTTAGAGTTGTACTATAGGTATACCTACAAGAACTTTAAATAGTAATATTGGCACTTTTTTCACCTATATTCCAGAACATTTGTTGGATACTTGTTCCACCTCCCTCAACACAAGGTTCTCCCATCCATCATGTAACATGCAAAACAAATACGAAGAAACAGAATTTGGGTCAAGAGTTTGAGTGCCAAAATAGAGGATATAGTAGAATCAACAGACTGCGGAATTTGAGCCTGAAACCCTTCAGATTGCGTAAGTCTGCAGTGTGTGTGTTAGGAAAACAGTTGTAAATATCAAAAGTAAGATCAAATTGACTGCAGAACTGTTATTATTATTAAATATTTGGACCATGCCAAGCATAACAGTCAACCAGCTCCTGGCTTTATTATATTAGGCACTGTATAAACATTTAATTAGAGAATGTCCCTGCCCCTACATCACTTCCAAACATATGCTTATTTTTAAAAATCTAGTAATTATTTTCTGTGTGGTGCCATCACTGCAGACCATTCTCCCACATGAGTGAAATGAATAAAATCCTAATGTAGTCTAAGAAATAAGTACAATTCAACAGTTTGAGTAATGTCAATGATATCTGAAGGTTACCAGAAAGGAATGGAAGTACTAATATCCCTGAAGAAGAATATAGCAAATCATTTTAAAACTCTTAGTTAAGGAGAGCTACCTATCACTCAAGAAGGAAAAAATAAATTATCTCTTTGGCTCAGTAGTTTCAGTGTTTTCTCCTTTAATGGTATGTCAGTTTGACTATTTTACTTGTGATGAGGCTGCACACTTTTGCAGTAGACCCTCTGTGTGATTAACTGGTTAATGCAAGTATACAATAAAATATGTACTTTATGAATATTTCAATTTATACTTACACTTTTTTTTTTTTAACAAATATTCTCTGAAATTCTCCATTACATTTGATTCAATAAAAGTCAGTTTTAAAATGTTAACAAGTTGAATATCTGACGCAAGATCTCAGAATCTAAGTCAGCTCTGTATTTCTGCCACTTAAAGCCACATTTAAAAAGTTTATCTGAAATGGCACATTTTTGTGAGGGAGGTTTTCCACAACAATATTTATTAAAGCTTGTTCACAATATGGTCATAGACAATACCAATTTATTGATAGCTTCAGTGATTTATTCTTTACTAAATTTTATTGGAAATCAGCAAACTCAGAATTTTGTTTTGTTTGAGTAGAGATTTTTCTAAAGATATATGCCACTTGTTATACATTTAGACAGAAGCAATTCATATATGCAGCAATGATTGCTCTTAAAAACTCAAGTCTTTTCCTTGAGTAACACTTGTAACATCTCAGAGAAGACCTAGAAGCTTCATAAGCTGATATTTTTTGTCAAATCAGACTCCAAAATTTAATTTATTGTCTAAATACTAAAATCTGCATTTTGATAGTTCTATTTAAAGTCATGTTGATAATTTATTTCTGTTTAATTGGAACTGACCTTTGATTATATTCAACTACCTTTCCAAGTACAGTGCTATGAAGCTATTTAGAAATTTTTCATTTTTTCTTTAGGTCTAAAACTAAACACTATAATCAGTTCAGTGTGCATTCTCATCTTTCCCTCTGCTGGTAAACAAAAATACCTGTGATGGAAAATTACTTCACTGAAGCCAAACAAGACACATAGAATAGGTCTTGTGCAACTGTGAGGTTGGCTAATGAGTCTGTGGATGCCCGTCTTCCTGGAAGCATTCAAAGCCAGGCTGGATGGGGCTTAGAGCAACCTGGTCTAGTGGGAGGTGTCCCTGACTATAGCCAGGGGGGTTGGAAGTAGGTGATCTTAAAAGTCTCTTCCAACCCAAACCATTCTATGATTCTATGATCCATCACTAAATCACTGATATTTGTAAGAAACATGATCTAGCAGAAGAGAAGAGTCAGTGGCTTTATAGAAATTTAGTTCTGCTTGTAACTGTAGTGCTTTACTAGACTGGCAGCTGCAAAGCTTGAATTCTATTAACATTCATAGGCCCTGTTTAATTAAACAATATAAAGAAAACATTAAGAATAGAGTTTCGTAAACCACATCAGTGGATAAGCCAGTTTACAGAAATCCCTCCATCCTTAGTATTCTGTCCCTCATGCTGTCTCAAACTACTAAACAGCATTGAGTATCCTCTCAATGAACACAACTTCATCACCAGTGAATCATTTTAGAAAGGATTTCAGGAACAATCTACAGAACCAAAGACTAGTAATGCTGGCATCTGCAGAAATTAATAGAAAGTATTCTGAATGTACTGTAAATCCTTGAAGAACAATGTGGACAAAAAAAGACAAGTAATACAGTCTTCTGAGACTTTCAAATGTATTTGACAAAGTCTCTCACTGATGACTCTTGAAACACTCGACTGCTAAGGTTAGGAAGAGAGCAATAATAAATGGCTACTGGGATGAGGATTGCTAGAAAAGACAAGGGTAAAGAGAAGGAAAAAGAAATAAAATATATATATTATTTGAAACCACCTGAAGTTTCACAGAACCACAGAAACACCAAGGTTGGAAAAGACCTACAATATCATCCAGTCCAACCATCCAACTATCACTAATAG